TTGTTGCAGGACTTCTTCAGTGGCAGGAATTTGAACAAGTCTATAAATACAGACGAAGCAGTGGTGTGTGCTGCGGTGTTGTTAGTGGCCGAGGTGACTGGTGAGGGGTCGGAGGCGACAGAGAATTTGATGTTGTTGGAAGTGACATCACTCTCACAGCGTTGATAGGGGGTAACACTCCAATTAGAACGATATTGAATAAGACACTTACTTTCAAGTGGGTAGATCTAAGTGTAAGAAGGTGAGTGTGCAAAGCCATATGACAACTGTTTGTTGGGAGAGTTTACCCTCTCAGTGTAATGTCTGAGTTTGATGTGGCCTTTAATGTTTACGAGAGTGCCATTCTCAATGTGTCAGTGGAGGACAAATCATCAGAGTGTCAGAATGAAATCGCCGTCACTTACAACAGGGTCGTTCATTGGAAGAGGAGGTAGGGCGAGTGCTGAATGAGGGGGAGAAGTTCAAGCAGAAGGATGAGAAGGAGAGGAACAGGATAGCAGCAAGGTGTATGCTTGAAGACTAAATCTTCAGCACAAAATCACAAATGGAGAGCAGAAGTATAGAACAAAGTATATCAGAGGCGTTCCGACAATATTAACTGACGTTGTGTGAGATGACGATTAAGTGGATGGACGCCGAGCAACAGGTCACAAGGGAGAAGTAAGACCTCATGGGAAAAAAATTGACCACCCTGTACAACTCACTTTCTGGAACGAAGAATGTCGGTTCGTGATCACGGAGATATGGAAATTGAAAGGAACCATCTCCCTTCATTTGACCTTGCAAGATACGATGCAACAAATCTCGGAAATGGGCCTAACTAGATGTGATAATGTAATCCCAATCCAAATCACACCCACAGCGAATTGTTACTCGTTCTGCTATGTACATATGCATTCAATAAAGTTTTGGTGTTCCCACTTATCTGTTAACTTGTTCACCCATTTTCCTTCCTGCATTCATTCATTTATAACGCGGCACCAGCCTGCCAGGTTCCCAGTGTGGACGCCAGCAATCATTTCGCCGCATAGACACCGCACCCATTTCCTCAATTGGCCTTGAAAATTATGACACACGCATTGCATTGTCCCGTCTCTCAGGGATGTCTCTCAAATAGCCTTTGAGGCTTAATATGTGCGAATTGCCAGGTCAATCGGTATCGTTAACAATCCTTCCTATCAAGGGTTAGTTATTTAGGTATGCGGATGAGCGTTTGCAGAGACATGGAGGCTAGGCCCGGTGCCTCACCTTGCACACACACCTCGGGCGCTTGTAGCGGACAGTGCCACACAGTGTCAAGAGGCGCATTTCGGATCAGTGTTAAATAGGCAATCCTGGGATGAAATCAACGCAAGAAACTACAAGCATTT